CGTGGCCGGGGACCGCGGCACGCACCGAGCGCGCAGGGGCCCCGGACAATAACGCGCATTCAACGGGAGCTTTCGATAACTGCCAACGCCTTGTTTCCCATCGATTCAGCCCTCTGCAAATTAACGAGTCGTATACGTTCGTCCACATATCCAAGTGTGGTGGCTCCTCCATAATACAACTCTTAAAATCAATTCTGCCTAATTTCTGGCCTGAAAGACCAAGCGGTGAGGGTGAGTCGTGTTTCCCCTACCTGCAGCAGCGTCATTCTGCCGACAAGTTTTTGGTCTCCCTTCGCAGTCCGAGAGCTCATGTTTGGTCTCAATTCACGGAGTGCCGGTATGCCCCGTGGGGTAAGCGGATGACTGCACGCTCTGGGTTCCCATCAACTGGCGATGATGACGTCGCGTTTTCGAAGTGGGTGAACCATTTTGTGACCAAAAACGGCTCATTGGCACATCAAACAGATGATAGATGCTACCACCCAGCTAACTACCAGGCCAGGCATCTCACGTGCAAGGTCAAAAACGCCCACAACGTTGTCGCTGACACTTTCGAGCCTAAATTTGTCAAGGCTCGATCCACATACTGGACCTTCGATGCCGTTTTTATAGTTGACCTGTTCCACGAGTCCAAATGCGTTTTTTTCAATCGCTTGCTGGCAACTAACAACAGTCAGCTTTTCACGGGCCAACTCCAGGATGTCCAAGATTACGTTTGGAATCAGTGCCGCTGTGATAGAGAGGACTCTCCCTCACAGAATGATACAATTGTGACACATCATACAGAAGGCCATCGGGTCTCCACGCTATCTCTGCCAGCTGGAGTACTACGCCGCGTTGACGAACTCACCCGCAGCGACGCTGCTTTATTCAGAGTGGCGCTCATTTTTTTTCTCAAGGAAGTTAAGTTCTTGGAAACCAGATTGGGCCGTCGGGTCCTCTGTGATGATGTGCTACAAAAGAAGACATTGGAGTTGGCATATGTGATGCCCAACCTGACAGGCACCTACCGCTCTGCTAGACCCTGCTGACGATGCAAACTTGCCATACGGGCTCGTGCCGCCGTCGTCGCTGTCGCAGGTGCCGCAACAGGCTCGCAGAGAATGAGAGCATTGCAGCCGCACGAGCCGTGCGTGGCGCTTAACCACGAAGATCCGAGGGAACCGACGGTCCAGTCACAACTACTCACTTAACTCCAGCGATTGAGGACAGAGAGCCCCTGGCATGAGTAGACCATGCCGCTCCCTTACCCCCGCCTGAGGTCATACCTTAAAGGTTCCCCCCGGCGGGGCACCAGGAGAGGCATGTGAGGAGCTGCTCCCGGAGCGCCTCGCTGGAAATCGCCTCCTGGGACCCCGCGCCGTGCGCCATGGCTTCGCCACGTGATACGCAGTCGGGCGCACCAGGTGCGCAAAATTCTCGCGGCCCATGGGCGACGTTCGGGGCGCGCGACGACGCGCGGCGCGGACCCCACCTCGTGCGCTTCGTAGGCAGTGTTCCGGCCGCCGACGCTGCAGGCGAGGGGCGGGCCCGCGGCGACCATGTCACACGGTCGTGGGCGGCCCCGAGCCCGCTCCAGGCGCGTCGGCGCGCCCCGGTGACGGCGAGGGAGCCGCGACCGACACCGCGGAAACGCTTCTGCCTCCGCTCCCGGACCCGCGAATCTACCAATGGCTATTCAAATTCAAGATCAATCGAATATAAAACTTCATCAAATGATCAACCACTGGCACATGGCGCACAATTTAGACAAAACCATCATGGGGGTTTAATTTGAACCACCATTAGAGGACCATTAGGAGCGTTCGGCAGGCCACAACCGAGTCCCATGGTTTAATCTACGACACTTAGGAGAGGCCCGGGGTCGCTCGGGGTTGGTTTTTCTCGGGCTGGATTTAATTGAACCCACATTGAACCGGCATTGCAGACCAGATCAACCTCTCGCACGCCGATNTCGCAACCCGGGGCGACTCCGACGCCTTCGCCCGCTCGTCACATATGGTCTACGCCTTCGACGACAGCCAGTCCGCCACCAGCGCCCACAGGCGCACCGCGGCTTGCGTTTTCGGTCGAAGCGTTTCGGCGCCCGGCGGACATTCGCGAGTCGTCGAATTTTCGACGCGACACCAGGAACGCGCCACACCATCGACTCGCACCATCATGAAGAGCATCTGGTTGAAAAAGAGTCCGAAGGCTCGTCGATGCGCCGCCGCATGGCGGGACCGCGGATTTCGCCACTTTTGGGCGCACGCCGTAGACGCGCGCGAGAGTGATTTCGGGAGCTATGGAGCTGGCTAGAGACCGTCCATAGGTCACACACAGGTGCGCAACCCTCGCGG